TGGGGGGCTGGTGGAATGGAGGGTGAAATGGAGTGGTCAGCTTTAGCAGGGGACACCCCCAGGACCCACCCCTTGTGGACTCCAACAGCTGGTGGTAAGAGAGGTGGAGACGTTTGGACTCTTCAGCCAAGCTGGGGTGATGCTTTGCTTAGGGCACCGAGTGTGTGGGTGACCTTGGCTTTTGTCTCAACAGCAGCTTGGCACATCAGTAATTAGAAGGAATGATCATTATTTGTGCCTTTCGAAGGCTGTGATTAAGCAAAAATAGCCTCCATTCTTCAGCCAGCAGGGGAGCTTTGGTGAGCTGGGTGGGCCACGGGTCCCTACACTGCGGCTGGCGGGGGTGCTGGGAGCAGACCCTGCGGGAGCTGGCCTGCCTTAAAGCTTGTCACAAAACATTGTGACAAAACAGCTGGGGCTTACTCCACCCCAAATCTGGGCACGGCAGGGGCCCAGCCTGAACAGGGCCATGCAAACAGAAGTTAACAGGAAGTGGGAAGGAACTGGCAGCTTGATGGCGAGATCTGGGGACCCTTGCATGTGGCCGCCACACCACCCAGGACCCCCTGTCTGCGGCTCTTGTCACCAGAGACTCTGGGGAGGGCACTGCAGGCTGAGCCATAAAACCCAGGCCATCAAGGCAGGCTATTCTAGAACCCTCTGAGGTTCCCCGATGCCAGTTCCCGGGGACTTTTGGGAAATATGCTTCCCTGTGGATGGTGCTTCCCTGAACCTGACTTCCCCTGGGCATCTAACAGCAGAGAGATGTCTTGCAGGCCGTGTGCACCCTGGGGTCTTCTCTTGCAATAAGTTTTCACAAAAACGTTGTACGTTTTGGCCCTGGAAGCTGATAAGGCCCAGCCCTGTTCTCCAGGGACTCATAGCCTTATAGGGAAATAGACAAGTAACCCCACAGCAATCAGCCAGGCCCAGCTCAGCATGCTGTGGGAGCACAGAGAAGCAATAACCCTCTCTGCCTGGGTAGATCTGAGAAGGCTTTCCAGAGGTGGTGAAATTGAACAGAATTTTGAAGGATAAGTAGGAGTTTGTCAGTCAGTCAACAAGGGAAGGAGGGGCTTTCTAGACAGAGGGCCCAGCATCAGCAAAGGCAGGGAGGAGTGAAAGTGGTATGTCTTGGTGGTGTCTGAGCCAGTGGCCTCAGTAATTGTAGTGGGAATGCCTGGTTCTCAGCAGAGCTCCAGGGGTGAAGTACACGCAGGGCAGACTCTCAGCTGCATTTCTGCTCGTTTCAGAGCCTCCATGAAGACTGGAGGCCTGCCTTCCTATGGGCTTACTCTAGTCCTGTTAGATAACTCTCCAGGGGCCAGAATCTCCAGGGCTGGCTAGGTATCCCCTCCTTTCTCTTGCAGAGAAAAGCATTTCTGGCTTTCGTGCATTGAAAGGAAGTGAGCCTCCATCTTCAAACAGCACAGACGGCGAGATTCTTCCTCTTTGTGAGGGATGGGGTGAGGGATGCTGAGGACAACCCTGCCCAGTCTCCAGCTTGTGGCTCCCATCCCCACTGAGCCAGGAACTGTCTCAGCATCATTTGTGCCCAGGATGCAGCACCTGCCCACGAATTCAATGCCCAGAGCCTCGCATTGGGCCCAAGGGAGCTCAGTGCAGGTGATTAAGGATGAGGGTGCTTCTAGGTCTGTGTCATCAGTGAGGGAGCAGGACCCAGCCCCCACGTGGTGGGGGCATGGTGCTTGGGAGATGGCAGGACCCTCATGTCTTCCCTGCATCTTATTTATAGCTCACTATGGTAGTTTGTGGCAATCCAGCATTTAATCCTGTAATCATACTGCAAGCAGGCACCCAGCCCATCGAGGCCGGGGAGCCTGCCAGGGCTAAGGGAGGGACTTGGCGGCCGGGCAGCCGAGTGTGGAGGTGGCGCTATCCCCATCAGCCTCCAGCCCCAACTTGTCAGCAATGGCCCTGGCTCTCTGTGTCCCACAATGTACTCTGTATCATCATCATCATCATAAGATACAATAACAGCTAACACTGTGTTCCAGGACCTGTTCTAAATCCTTTATATATATTAGCTCAATTATCCTCACCACAACTCTATGACGTAGCTACTATTATTATCCTCATATTCCAAATGGGTGATGCAAAGGGTTGACACACTCAGCTGCTAACCAAAAGGTTGGAGGGTCGAGCCCACCCAGAGGCTCCTTGGAAGAAAGAGCTGAAGATCTACTTCCAAAAAATCAGCCACTGAAAACCCAGTGGAGCACAGTTCTATTCTGGCACACATGGTGTTGCCCTGAGTCGAATCAGCTCAATGGCAACTGGTTGGTTTTATTCAAAATGAGGAACCTGAGGCTCAGCTCCCACAGCTAGTAACAGCCAAGATTTGAGCTGAGGTATTTTGGCTTTTAACCACATCCTTCCCAGTCCCAGAGGGGAGGGGTCTCCCAGGTTCCAGGGGCCATGACCTCAGCTCTGTCTTCAGTCCTGGTTCCTCCTGGTCGTCCTGCCTCAGAACCACACACAGGCCACATGCCCCATGGAGCGTGGCTGCCTCATCCCTGGGAAGCCACATTTGGCTTCCCTCTGGGACGCTCTCTTTCGCTACGGGGAAATGGCTTCATGCTCCATGGCAAGATGGAGCGAGGTCTTGCCGCAGCAGACCTGGACTTGAATCTCCTAGGTGCCGCCTCTCAATCTGTGTTTCCATTTCTTCTCCTGAAGAATGGGGATTGTTGTATCCATCCCGCTGGGGAGTTATGAAGGTTGAAAGGATAGGAGCGCACTCTGGCAAGCAGTGTGCTCTGTTGAGTGTGGGGACTGTAGCTGGGGGTTATGAGCACATGCTGTGGTGCCCCTCTAGCTGGGTTCATGTGCCAGCTCTGCCACTCAGTCTTATCAGTTGTGTGGCCTGGGTCAAGTGACCTAGATTCTTTGAGCCTCAGTTTTCTCATCTGTAAGGTGGGGCTAATAACAACAGAACCTGAACTCAGAGAGTAATTGTGAGGACTAGGTGAAATGATACATGTGAAGCACTTCGTGCCTAAGGCCTACTGCCAAATCAAAACCCAAACCCACTGCCATCAAATCGATTCTGACTCATGGCGACCCCATGTGTTACAGAGTAGCACTGTGCTCTGTAGGGTTTCCAATGGCTGTAATCTTTATGGAAGCAAATCACCAGGCTGTTCTTCCGTGGCACCACTGGGTGAGTTTGAACCACCAAACTTTCAGTTAGTAGCTGAGAGCAAACCGTTTGTGTTACTCAAGGGTCTGGGACATAATAAGTGCTCAATAAAACTGAGCCCTCACTGTCAGCCTTTACTGTCCTGTCCTGAGGGCAGGGCCCAGGTCTCCTCTGCCTTCCGTCCCTCAGTACCTAGCCAAGCCCAGGGCAAGGTCTACAGTAAGTTACAAATCAGACAGGGACGAGCCCGAGCCACTGGCAGTTGCGTTAGGAAGTGCTGGGCAGAGCCAAGCCTCTGAACAAGTTTTCCTCCTCTCAAGAGCCAAACCCCTCTATTGCTTAAGGCAACAATTTTCTGTCTGCGTAGCTCACGGCTCAGACCTCATAAACCGGTTACCCATAGACCAGGGCTGTGTCTATGAGGACAGAGCATTTCGGAAATGCACTTCCCTACCGAGAACAGCTTCGCAATTGGAATTCTTCATAGATGCACCCTCCCCTGGGGTTCATAGTGACCGAGGTGATGTTGACTTAGACACAGTTCGTCCAGGGCTCCCACCCACACCTGTCTCCTGCAGAGTTGTCCACAAAGCCCCTGGGAGGGACCCTCCTGGGATGTGACTGCTAGAAGGCTGCAACAGGCTCAAGGCAGGGGTGGGGGAGAGTGACGAAGGAAAGGACCATCTTGTCTAGAACAGACTACTTTAGTCGGTAAGTGAGTTCCCTGTCACTGAAGGCAAACAAGTGATTCCCAGTCTAGCTGTGTGAGTCCGTCATAAGAGGAAACAGTTCCCATCTCATGGGGGATAAAGGGGAGGAGGCAAGGTCAACTTGATGGAAGGAAGGATTCCTCAAGGTGGCTGGTGTCATTGAGGGGAGGGTACCGACGTGTCTGTCTCTCTCCACTTGGGAGTCCAGTGTCGTGACCTTTAGGTGCTAGCTCAGGGACTGACAAACTTTTCTGTAAAGAGACAGATAGTAACTACTTCAGGCTTTGCAGGCTGTCAAGTCTCTGTTGCAACTCCTTAACTCTGCCGTGGTAGCATGAACCACCACAGACAATATGTAAATGAATGAGCCTGGCTGTGTTCCAATAAAACTTTATTTACAAAAATAGGTGACGGGCCAGATTGGGTCCATGGCTATAGTTCACCAAACTCTGTGTTGGAGGAATAAGGGGCCAGGGAGGGCTGGGCACCAAGAATTGCTTCCTGGAGGAGGAGGTCTTGCGCCCAGGAAGCTGAGAGAAGCAAGAGAGTGTTTCTGGCAATGACTGACTTCACCCCAGAGCCTGTGGGTGATGACGAGTGTGGTCCCAAATGCTGGCCTTCCCTCTCTGAGGGCCCCCTTTCCCTAAATCATGGTCCCCTAATTCTTCCTGGCCCCGCTATCTCTCTGATAGCTTCAAACAGATAATTTAAAAACCATTTTATCTAGCTTTTCTAGTTGTTCTCAGAGGAGAGGTTGGCCCAAATTACTGTCTGTAAGTGGGAATGGAAGCCATCAGGTGGTAGTCTCATTGCTGCTGTTGGTGAAGAAAAGCAGGATCACGCCTTTATAGGACTTCTCTTCTCGCCTCAGTGACAGCCCCATAATGATCTAACCCTGCGTGTCTTCCTTTCCTTAGGAAGAGAAAGCTTCGTGGGTATTGATTTCTGAGGCAGGGGACTGGACCGGGTGAATCTCCTTAGCTCTAGACTCTATAGTTACAGCCTACCTATCAGTCAAGGCCTCACTATGGAGTCCACACAGCAAGCGGCCAGCTGGGCCCTGGGGAACACCCAGTGACTGGGTAGGGAGCCTGGAGATGCTGACTTCTCCTCTGTTCCCTCTGCAGGGGAGCTGTACCGGGTTTCTTTGAGAAGACAGAGGTTCCCAGCCCAGGGGAGCATCGAGATCCACGAAGACAGTGAGGTGGGCTGGGTTTCTGAGGGTGTCGCTTCAGGATTGCAGGGAGTTTTCACCCAGCCCTTCACTTGACTTGCTTTGTGACCCTGGGCAGGTTCCTGTCCTTCTCTGGGCCTCAGACTCTACAGGAACCAAAAGGGTCTCTCGGGTCCCTTCCAGCCTTAGCATCGAGGGGCTTACCATCCTGGCAGCCTGTGCCCCCATACTGAACACATAAGAGACCCTATCACATGGTGTTGGAGAGCCTTCCCTGCTGTGGGGCTGAGACAGGCTGGCCACCATCTCCTGGCGTCTGTGTCTGTGCCCTCCCGCCCCCCCATCCTCTCTCTATCTTATGGATGTCCCTCTCAGGAAGGCTGCCCTCAGCGCTCCTGCAAGACGCACGTCCTCCTGCTGGTGCTGCATGGGGGAAACATCTTGGACACAGGCTCGGGGGACCCGTCCTGCAAGGCGGCTGACATCCACACCTTCAGCTCCGTGCTTGAGAAGGTCACCCGTGCCCACTTCCCTGCTGCCCTGGGCCACATCCTCATCAAGTTCGTCCCCTGTCCTGCCATCTGCTCCGAGGCTTTCTCGCTCATTGCCAAGTGAGTGGATTGCAGCTGGGGGTGGAAGGTTAAGTGGAAGGGTTGCCTAGGCTGTGTTGGCACCTGGTGGGCAGGTGCGTACCTGTCAAAGCCTGTCTGGGACGTCAGGCCTTGCTGACCATGAGCACCACGGGGGGCAATGGTCACTGAGAGTAGAATGCAATTAACACACACACTGACATCATTGAGAGCAGAATACAATGAACGCACACACACTGACTACTCTTCTGGCCCCACCTGGTTGGTGCTGGCTCCGTGATGGCTCAGATCCACGTCCTGGGCTCAGGAGGTCCCTGGTCTAGTTGGCCCAGATACGGAAACTGAGGCATTGAGCAGTTAAGCAACTTCCCCCAGCTCAGCCAGCTAGTGGAGCCAGGATCCAAACCCCAGCAGCCTCTCTCTGGGACCACACAATGACAGCCCAGTAAGAGTATGTGCTATAATGGAGGTTGCACAGGGCACTGCCATCACTCAGAGGGAACGTGTAGCTCTATCTGTGAGTGTCAGGGAAGATTTCCTGGAGGAGGTGACTTTTGAGTGTGCCTTGAGAGTAGCAGAGCCTGATTAAGTGTGTGGGCTTGCAAGTCTGCCTGGATTTGAATCCTGTCTGTGTGACCTTGAGGAAGTAGTTTAAGCTCTCACGGTCTCAGTTTCCTCATCTGTAAAATGAGGAAAATAATCATATCCACTCATAGAATTGTTGTGGGGATTCCACATGGCAGTGGATGTGAAGCACTTAGGACAGTGCAGGGGATGGAAGCTGGGGTTAGCATCATCCTTGCAGGGTGAGAAGGCTCTCTTTCTCCAATGATGGAGGGTGGGCTGGGGAGGGGGACATTCCCGACTCCCAGTGGAGAACCTGGCTGGCAGGGAGGAGGTGGGGAAGGACGGAGTCCAGAATGCTGGGTATGGAGGCGGCACGCTTACCCACTGACCCTGGCGTGTCTCTGCCTCCCTATGGACCTTGGTTCTCCATGCAAACCTGCTGTGGTACCTGTGGAGGATAAACCGAGAGACCAGGGGCTCCTCCAGGATCTGGGGGTCTGTGGGAGATCCTGTCCACTACTCCAGCCACTCCCAGGCCTGGTGCTTGCCCTGTTGGAGGTGCCTGGAGCCAGGTGGGAGATCTGGTTGTTCGTAAATAAAACCAGTTGCCACGGAGTTGATTTTGACTCATGGCACCCTCAAGTGTGTCAGAGTAGAACTGTGCTCCGTAGGGTTTTCAATGGCCGATTTTTTGGCAGTAGATTGCCAGGCCTTTCTTCTGAGGCACCTCTGGGTGAACTCGAACCACCAACCTTCCAGTTAGTAGCTGAATGCTTAACTGTTTGTGCCACGCAGGGATCTGTTCATAAATGATATGTGCAAAAAAGGCCCCAAGCACCTGAAAGGCCCATGTCTAAAAGAGCATTTGGAAAATTGCTAGGACTGGAAGCTGGGAAGCTGGAAGCTGTGGACATTCTGCGTTCAGGGGTGAGAGGGAGGCAGGTGGGCACCTTATCCTGACCCTCACCCCCTCTCTTGCCCCTGCTCTGTCAGAGCCTTGAGCTTCTGCAGAGATGAGCCCCACCCATCTGGAGGTGGGAAGGATGGAACGAACCCCAGCGTAGTGCGGGAATAGGGGACTCCCAAACCCCTCTACCTGTGAAAATGGGGCTCTCAGTCAGATGTGGCTCTGAGGAGGTGCTAAGCTGAGCAGCCCCCATCTGGGATGAGGACTGAGACCCAAACAGGGCATCCAGCAGTGCTGGGGAGGGGCAGGCAGCCCTGCCCTGGGAGCTTCCCCTGCTTGAGGGCCCAGGTCAAGGCTAGCAAGCTTCTTTCCTTCTCTGGATCTCACTCTTGCCGGCTTCATGAGGAAGGGATGTCTCCTTCCCTCTGGACCAGCGGCAGAGCCCCGTCTTGGATGTTCCCAGGACACAGACAGGCCAGGTCTCTATCAGAGCTGTGAGGGAGGAAGGAGATGAGGTCAGTAGTTCCCCCAGCTGGCTAATGGCCCAGATCCCGGCTGTCACTCTTGTTAAACCACACGATGTCCAGGCCTCACCCCTCGAGCATCCGAAGCAGGAGGGGTGGAGCCTGGGAGTCTGCATCTTGGACTACTGCTCACGGCTTCTGGCAGGCTGCAGGCTGAGGAAGTGAGCTCCTTTCTCTTCACACTAACAGTTGGGGAGTTAATCGGGCTGGTGCATACCTATCTCTGGGCCCCCATTCCCCATCCCCCCGGCGCAGCTGACCTCCAGGCTGGGTCACCCAGTCCAGGCCTCTATCTCCACGAAGACTGATGTCCTGAGCACTCGAGGGCCCCCCGGGACGGAGTTTACGGCTCCCCCAGGCAGCTCCTTGCCAGGGCCATTAATCACCCCGTAATCACTGCTGGGAGGGAACTCTTTCGCAGCTCTTTAACATCTCTCTGGCTGCAGTCGAGGCCTGTTTCCTCTAATTTGTGTTCTTTGAAGATGAGCAATGCTGGTGAGGCATCCTGGCACACTGTGAAGGAGCGGCCACTTGCCGAGGGGGCTTTGAACCCTGTCACCTGCCCCCAGGATTCAGCGCTGGGCTTGATCAGGCTGGGCCCAGGTTCCAGGGAAAGGGCAGGGACTGGGGTCATGGCTGGTCTAGCCTCTCCTGACCAGCACTGTAGATGCTCAGGCTGCAGTAGTGCAGCTGGGTTGATGCCCCAGAGGACAGGGCGGGCAGGAGGCTGGTCTCAGGTGGGTCTGAGCTGCCCAGAGAGGGAGTGCCTTCCTGGTAGGAGGGAGGGAGGATAGGAGGGACCAGCAGGGACTCGCAGTCCTTGCTAGCAGGCATGCTGGAGGGCAGGCTCCCTTATCTCTTTCTGGGGTCATAGGCCTTTCTGCAAAGTCGATGAAAGTTCTGATCCTCCCTCTGAAAAATGGACACACGCTGTCGCTCATGCAGCCATGTTTCCCCTTCCAAGTTCTTCTCCCTTCTGGGCTTCTCCAAAACCATCCTTGAGGCCTAAACTCCACCTCCTCCAGGAAGTCAGCCATGACTTGCCCCCTCCCTGATCCATACTAGCTGGCTGGGTGCCTTCCTCCACTACAACTTTATTATATATATTTTTATTGGCCATTGAGTCATGACCCCATGTATGTCAGAGTAGAACTGTGCTCCATAGGGTTTTCAATGACTGGTTTTTTGGAAGTAGATAGCCAGGCCTTTTGTCCAAGGTGCCTCTGGGTGGACTCGAACCGCCAAGTGAGAGCTGAGTATGTTAACCTTTTGCATCACCCAGGGACTCCCTCCACCACAATGGGGTGTCCTTTGGGGACAAGCAGGAGAGAGCAGAGAGCACTGCTGTCATAGGAGACCCCAGGCCTCTTCCTGTCCCCTCCACACGGGGGCCCAGGGATGGACCTGGGGGGATCAGCACCCCCTACTTGTGCTTTGTCCTGTCTGACTCCAGCCCGGGTCCCCCTAAGGTGCCCTGGAGCTGAGGGCCCAGTTCCTGGGCAGCACGTGCTCCCCTCTCCCTGTCTCAGCCCCAAGCCCCCCACCTGCTGACTCCCGCTGGGCTTACCTTGGGCCCCTGTCTGCAGCCTGAGCCCCTACAGCCATGACGAGGGCGGCCCCAGCAATAGCCAGGACCACGCCCCCCTGGCCGCCCTGCCCCTGCTGGCCATCTCCTCCCCACAGTACCAGGATGCTGTGGCCACGGTCATCGAGCGGGCCAACCAGGTCTATGGAGAGTTCCTCAAGTCCTCTGATGGAGCTGGCTTCAGTGGGCAGGTAGGACAGCCTGCCGTCCCTGCCCCTGTCCTGGCCCCTACCTGGGAGAGGGGTGGAGTCTTCTGGAAGGACCAAGCCCAGGCTGTTCTAGAGCCAGAGCGTCTGAGATTGAAGGAGGCTTTGGTGATCTTTGAGTTCATCCTCGTTTTACAGATAGAAGAACTGAAGCTGATAATCTGCGACAATCTGCTTTCTGGTTCTGAGCCCATGCCTGAGCCTGACCCCTGACCCTAGCCTGATCCCTGACCTCAGGCTGACTCTGGCCCTAGGCTAAACCCTGAGCACCCTCCCCCAGTGTGGGTTCTCTCAGCACCTCTGTGGGACAGGCCTCTGGAAAGGCAGCCCTTGCTCTGGCTGGGGGTGGGGGTGGGGGTCACAGAGATCCGGCCTCTAGCCCAGGCTGTGCCTCCCACAGGTGTGTCTCATCGGGGACTGTGTGGGTGGCCTGCTGGCCTTCGATGCCATCTGCTACAGTGCAGGGCCCTCAGGTGACAGCCCTGGCAGCAGCAGCCGGAAGGGAAGCATCAGCAGCACGCAGGTGAAGCCGGGTGGTGGGCTGGGGGAGGGAGCCTTCTGGGAAGCCTCCCCTGCTTCAGAGGAGCAGGGGCCTCTCCAGTGTTAGGCCTTCACATTTGCCCTGTGAGGTCCAGGTCACGAAGGATCCTATGACAGCCCTGTATGGGGAAAGAGACGATTTTCACAGCTGAGGAAACTGAGGCTTCCCAAGCAAAAGGCAAACCTATTGCCATGGCATCAATTCTGGCTCATGGTGACTTCATGTGGTACAGAGTAGAACTGCTCCGTAGGGTTTTCTTGACTGTAATCTTGATGGAGGCAGATTGCCAGGCCTTTCTTCTGTGGCACTGCTGGGTGGGTTCGAACCACCAACCTTCAGGTTAGCAGCTGATCGCACACTGTTTGCACCACCCAGGGGTAGTGCCCTTGGGTGTAGGAGGCAGCCTTCTGCCTCAGATCTCCCCATTTCTGCGATGTGGTTTCCACACTCCTTGTGGAAGACATCTAGCCTCTCCCGTCTTAGGAGAAAAGAATTCATGGTACCCTTCGTTTCTTGGTGGGGGAGGAGGCAGGGCCTGGAGTCTCCTGTGACAGAGCGCTCTCCTTCCTTTTCTCCTTGGTCCCAAAGGACACCCCCATCGTGGTGGAGGAGGACTGCAGTCTGGCCAGCAGCAAGCGGCTCAGCAAAAGCAACATTGACATCTCCAGCGGTTTGGAGGATGAGGAGCCCAAGAGGCCGTTGCCGCGGAAACAGAGTGACTCCTCCACCTATGACTGTGAGGCCATCACCCAGCATCATGCCTTCCTGTCAAGGTAATGCCCCTCCCTGTCCTCTGCCTGCCTTCCAGCCACGCGTCCATGGGAGAGGGGGCCTAGGGCACAGAGTCATTTGGGAGACCTGTGGCTGGTCATCTGTCCCAGGCCCTTCCATGAGAGCTGTATACAGGTACTGAAGTGCTCGGGCCAAGGCCCCTTCCCACTGGCCCTGCCCCATTGGCCCTGCATGGAGATCCGGGTCCCTAAACTCTGGCTCTACCAGTCCTGCAGAGGCCACCAGGGACAAGCTGTTTTATCTCTTCGGGCCTCAGTTTTGTCTTCTGCAAAAGGGCAAATACTGGATGGTTTTAAGAATCTGGTGAAATAACAAGATGTGTGGGTGTTCTGTGAGCAACCCTAGGTGTGTCTTCTTCTTGTTTCTCAGATGAGGAAATAGGGGGCCAAGAAAGTGATGAATTTTCCCAGGATTGCACAGCCAGTTACTAAAGAGCGGGGGTCAGAGAAAACAGTTGGCCATCAAGTCAGCTCTGACTCCTGGCGACCTCGTGTGTGTCAGAGTAGAACTGTTCTCCATAGGGTTTTCAATGGCTGTGATCTTTCGGGAGTAGATTGCCAGGCCTTTCTTCCAAGGCACCTCAGGGTGGACTGAAACCTCCAACCTTTCAGTTAGCAGCCGAGAGTATTACCCATTTGCACCATGCAGGGTTGGAATACTGGTCTCCCAATTCCCAGTTTGGTGCTTCTATACAACACTGTTTTACTCATAGGCCAGCAGCCTCGTCCACAGACCTGTTCATCCATGACCTTTCTAGAAGAGACATATTAATCAACACTGGTTAAATAAATTATCTGCACATTAAACCAGGATATGAGTGGGTGTTAAGCATGGACCCAAATGGGAAGGAATGCCTCCTTCCTTCTTCTCTCGCTCCTCAACTCTCTGTCCCCATCCCTTCTCCCTCCTTCTTTCTTATTCAAGCAATAAATACCATGAGGTCATCACATTCAGACAGTCACCCCCTAGAAGGGCCCACTATTAACACTTTGGAGTATTTCCATTCAGTATTTTCTCACGTGCTTTGCTTATAGTTTTGCTTTAAAACAAACAACAACAAAAACCCTTATATTGTGGTATTTTCCCCATATAATTAAAAATTGATAAATATTCTTAAATGGGGGCAGTGGTGGTTTAGTGGTAGAATTCTTGGCTTTCACATGTGAGACCCGAGTTCGACTCTTGGCCAATGCACCTCATGCAAAGCCACCACCCATCCGTCAGTGGAGGCTTGTTTGTTGCTATGATGCTGAACAAGTTTGGGCAGAGCTTCCAGGCTAAGATGGATTGGAAGAAAGGCCTGGTGACCTAGTTCTGAAAATCAGCCAGTGAAAACCCTATGAATCACAATGGTTTGATCTCCAACCAATCATGGGGACAGCTCAGGATCAGACAGCATTGTATTCTGTTGTGAATGGGGTCACATGAGTTGGGGTAACATGAGTTGGGAGCCGACTTGACGCAGCTAACAGCAACAACAAATTTTTTTTTGTTTATTGTTGTAGTTGAAGTGAAAGTTTACATTTCAAGTTAGTCTCTTATACAAAAATTTATACATACATTGTTATGTGACCCTAATTGCTCTCCCTGTACTGTGACAGCACACTCCTCCTTTCCACCCCGGATTTCCCATGTCCATTCAACCAGCTCCGGACCCTCTCTGCCTTCTCATCTCACCTCCGGACAGAAGCTGCCCATTTAGTCTCATGTATCTACTAGAGCTAAGAAGCACACTCCTCACGAGTATCATTTTATGTCCCACAGTCCAGTCCAATCTTTGTCTGAAGAGTTGGCCTTGGAAATTGTTTTAGTTTTGGGCTGACGGAGAGTCTGGGGACCATGCTTTCTGGGGTTCCTCCAGTCTCAGTCAGACCATTAAGTCTGGTCTTCTTACTAGAATTTGAGTTCTGCACCCCACTTTTCTCCTGCTCCATCAGGGACTCTTTGTTGTGTTCCCTGTCAGGGCGGTCATTGGTGGTAGCCGGGCACCATCTAGTTCTTCTGGTCTCAGGCTGATGAAGTCTCTGGTTTCTGTGGCCCTTTCTGTAACAACAAATATTCGTAAAGGCTATGTAATATTCTATTAAATGAATGGACAACAGTTTATTTAATCAATCCCAGTAATTGGACACTTGGGCTTTTTCAAATTCTTCACCATTATAAAGAGTGCATCCATACTTATGTGTGTATTAAGGTTACTTCATTCAGATGGATTCCTGCAGGAGGAATTACTGGGTCAAAAGCTCTACATATTTGAATCTCTGACTATTTAAAGCTCCACTGATAGATTATCCCTTAGAAAAGCAGCTTCATTCAAGTCAGAGTGGCAAGGTGACAATCTTGACACTTCTGGTTTCTCTTTGAAAAATCCTTTAGGAAAGCCCCAAATGTGGAGATTGACAAGAAGTTAGGGGCTCTGGGTAGCTGGTCCAACACAGCCAACTTTCCCTCTGCTGTAGGGACAGACGGTGGCTTCTTTGTCAATTAAGTAGTTGGCTTGTGTTTAGAAAGCAAGCTGTACATGAAATATGTATCGTTGGACAGCAGAGTCATCCTCCTTGCTGGGAGCTGCTCATACTGGGAGACTAGGAGGGAGTGTGGCAATAGAGGATTCTGCTTTCCAGACTCTTGAGGGTGCTCATGGGGCAGGAAGGCAGGTGGGGGCCCTTGCCACACTCTTTAAATTGCCATTTCTAAAATTCTCTTTGTCCTCAAACTCCAGCATTTTAGTCAAATTTGAATTCCGTTAATCAAGGCATTGGTGATTCGGGGGTAGACTCCTCACCTTTCGTGCAAGAGATCCAGGTTCGATTCCTGGCCAGTGCACCTCATGCATGGCCACCACCTGTCTGTCAGTGGAGGCTTGCATGCTGCTATGATGCTGAACAGGTTTCAGTGGAGCTTCCAGACTGAGACAGACTAGGAAGAAAGGCCTGGTGATCTACTTCTGAAAATCAGTCAGTGAAAACTCCAAGGATCACAACGGTCCAACCTGCAACCGATCATGGGGATGGTGCAGGACCAGATAATGTTTTTTCTGTTGTGCACACGCGGTCACCTTGAGTTGGGATTGATTCGACAGCAGCTAACAACAACAGCGGCAACAACAAATGGATTCATATATAATGTAGCTCTGCTGTAATGTCTTAAACTCTAAGCTGTACCTGCGGACGAGCAGGAAGGTTAGGGAGTGCCCTGCTGTCCTCCTGATCCTCAGCAGCCCGCTCTGGGTCTGCGACTGAGTATTAGTGTGGATTCTTTTTTCGGGCAGTGAGCACTTGGGATAGGAATGGTTGGATTCCGTAGGCGCCTCGTGTTTTTCTCCTAAGCTGTGCCTCATCTGTAGCCTGGAGGGGAGGGGAGACCAAGATGTTTGCGTCTGTGTCTTCCGGTTGTCTGGAATATGACTTACAACGAAAGCCCTGGTGCTGGCAGAACCGACAGTATCCAGGTGGTCTGTATGTCGGCCAGGCTGGGCTTCTCTGGTGGACGGTGTCGGAGTCTGCACTGTGGCCATCAGAAAACCAGCATGCTGGGGTAGAAAGCTTAGGTACAGGGTGGCCCTGACACCCAGCAAGGTGTCAGCAAACTACTACCTGAGGGCTAAATCCCACCTGCAGCCTGTGTTTATAAGTAAGTCTTATTGGAACAAAGCCACCCAGGGGCTCCACGGGAGAAAGACCTGGAGATCTGCTTCCGTATAGATTACAGCCAAGAAAACACCATTAGGCAGTTCTGCTCTGTCAGATGGGGTCGCTCTGAGTGGAAATCAGCTCGATGGCACCTAACAACAACACGGCTGCCGTCAGAGTCTCTGGGTGGCACAAACAGTTAAGTGCTTGACTACTAACCAACAGGTTGGTGGTTCAAACGCACTTCGAGGTGCCACGGAAGACAGATCTGTGAGGACACAGTTCTACTCTGCAGCACATGGGGGTGCCACGAGGAGGAATAGACTCGATGGCAGCTGGTTTGGTTTTTGATTTTATGGCTGTTTTCATGCCACAATGGCAGAGTTGAGTAAATGTGACAGAGATCACATGGCCCACAGAGCCTAAAATGTTTACTCTCGGGCCCTTTGCAGAAACAGCGTGTCCACTGTGCCTTTGGCCAGGCCTTCCTGGCCAGTGCCGAGCTTCTCACCAACTCTGCTGAAGGCGTCAGGCACGTGGACTCTGGTTCCCAGCCCTTTCCAGTGACGGAGGGGCTGGGCACTCCAAGTTCCAACTTCAGCCTCTAAGTGAGCATTCCCACCTTCTCTGCCCTCCCTTCCCTCCCCGCTGCCGTCCTCTGCAGCATCCACTCGAGTGTGCTGAAGGACGAGGCTGAGCTCCCCGCATCTGGGGCCCAGCTCCCGGAGGTCAGCCTGGGCCGCTTCGACTTTGACGTGTCCGACTTCTTCCTCTTTGGCTCGCCGCTGGGCCTGGTCCTGGCCATGCGGAGGACAGTGCTGCCTGGGCTGGACGGTGGGTGTGACCCGGTGTCACTAGGCCACCATGTCAGGGCCCAAAACTGGGGATCTGGGGGTGGGGGGGGCATACTGGTGGGGAGTTCTATGGAGTTGGGGTAGATGGAGAGAGAGGAGGAGGGGTGAAGGATTGGGGGTACAGGGGAGACAGAGGGAGAGGAAGGAGAAGGGACAGTTCCCCTAGATGGGACAGAGGCGAGGCAGCGTCTGATGGATCTCACTGTCCCTGTCACATGCCCCTGGCCAATTTGTGTCTGCATTGTTAGGCTGTCATGCCCTATGGGAAGAGAAACCACCAATATTCACCCTGTTGCACCCCATTCCCCTCCCTCCCCAGTACCCAGGAGGACCACTGTGGCCAGGTTGGTCTCACCAAGGCACGTATATCCAAGCCCACCTCAGGGCCTTTGCTCACACAGTACCTGCAGCCTCGAACGCTGTATCCCGCCCCTCTAAGATACACAAGTGAGGAGATTTATACCAGAACAGAGAGGCAGCTTGGCAATGTCCCTGAGGATGCAAGTACAGGCCGTCAGAGACTGGAGGGCACCTCATATATCAATGGATCAATGGGTTTCAAGCTTTCTTCTTTTTAGCCAAAGCTTACCAACAATCTACAATATGGAATAGATGAAAAGGGAGGGGTTTTGGTTGAAATGGGGGAGGGAGACAGAACCCACATGTCCCGTTCCCCTCCCAGCCTTGGCCCCACAGCTGCCCTTACAGTTGCTAAGGAGCCCTAGGGCTTCCTGGACACTGGGCTGCCCAGTCCCCTGACCTGGAGGGACAGGGAGGCCTGCGCCGTAAGGCAGAGGAGTCAGCCCGAGAGGCCTCAGTGGAGACACCTACTGGTCAGTGAGAGAAGTGTTCAGCCAGCTCTGGCAAACCAGAGACTCTACCACCAGGGAGTGTTGTCCTGAGAGAACCTGGACCAGCTTCCTAGATCAGGTAGCAACTAAGAGAAAGCTGGAAGAACTTGTAGGAGTTTGACCAGCTGGAAATAGTTGACTGTGGGCCTACTAGGAGAAGGATAGCCTGAACAAAGCCACGGCGAGAGGAAAGCAGTGAGCCTGACGGGGGAGTTGCACATGTTCACAGCAGCTACAGTGTTGGATGCCTGAAGGGGCACTCCTAGGTGAGGCAGGTTGGCAAGGCCTTGAATGCCAAACTGAACATAATGGCTTTGATTCTGCTGGTAGCAGGGAGCCATGGGAGGTTCTTGAGCAGAGGAGTGGCCGGTTCAAAGCTCACTCCAGGAAGCCTTCTAGGGCCAAAGGAGCAGGGTACTCTAAACGGGCTTCCCTCGTGTACCCTCCCCGCAGCTTTCCAGGTGCGTCCTGCCTGCAGCCAGGTCTACAGCTTCTTCCACTGCGCAGACCCCTCGGCCTCGCGGCTTGAGCCGCTGCTGGAGCCCAAGTTCCACCTGGTGCCACCTGTCAGCGTGCCCCGCTACCAGAGGTTCCCACTGGGCGACGGACAGACCCTCCTCCTCGGTAGGCTCTCGGGGTGCAGGGAGAGTGTACGGAGCGGGAGGCTGGGCCCCGCAGCCAAGTGGCACCCCAGGGCCACCCTCTCTGGGCAGCTGCTACAAGCTGTCAGTTATGAGATGGCTAAACTCATCTGAGCAGGGTCCGTGTGCTCTTGGGGGCGGGGACCACCTGCCATCAGAGCAGCCCACGTGTGCTGAGCTCTGTGTGAGGTGTCTTGGGGCTCAGGGACCCCGGCTGTGACCCTCACAAGCTCCCGGCTGAGCCCCTGTGGCAGGGCCAGCGTAATGCTCAAGCTGTCAACCCAATTGTAAATTCAGGGATCCTTGCTGACTACTACCCCTGAGTCCAGCCTGGGGAGTAGGGGTGCAGGGCAGGGAGGTTTCATCCTGGGACAGGTGGCCTTTGACCGAGGCCCGGACAGGGGAGATGCATTTGGATAAGTGGAGAGAGCTGGATGGTGGGGTTGGGGAGGGGTCAAGCAAGGGCAGGTGGGCTTGGGCAGGGGCCAGTAGCCCCTCGAGTGGGCTGAGGTAGGCCAGGACTAGGAAGCCAGGGGCCTGAAACCAGCACCTCAGCTCCACACCCCCAGTTGAAGAGGTTTCCTCTGAGTCTACACAGAGGTCTGGGCCAAATGGGTGGGGAACTGTGCTTATGGCTGATAAAACACCACCCCCATTTCAGTGGAGACTTAGTTCTCAAAGTCTTGCTTTGTCAGGAGCTTCAACAGGTAGATGAGGCTCTAAAACCTCCACCCCCCATTCTAAAATGTGTCCCCTTGAACAGGGTACTCCCCCTCCTCCCAAGGGCACCCTAGCTCCGGGGCCAGAGGCTGGAGGCCCCATTGGCTTCCAAGCTAAGCTGGAAGTCCACTGTGAATCAGGGAGGAGTGTGATGAAAGAGGACATGATTAGGTGTCCCCCCTGAGGCCCCAGCCAGGGGCTTTCAGGGTCAATCTCCCAGAGTCAATCTCCCAGAAGCTCCTAAGTTGAGGGGTGGAAGTGATGGCTGGCACCCTGGCTCAGGCCTGCATAACTCATGACGTAGAGGAGGTGAAACTTATCAATGTATTGTGGCTGATGAGTCCCTTCAGGCCCCAGAGGGGGTTAGGGGTGCGTGCAGCCTCCCTGTTGGGCTGGCAAGCGGGCAGGGCAGGCTGGCTCCACTGAGTGACCAGCCTTCCACCCAGCACGGGAGGCACGGGCACGCAGCTGTGTTGAGACACTCGGCCCTGACCTTGAAATTCCCCTTCCAGCCGATACCCTGCACGCCCACAGCTCCCTCTTCCTGGAGGGCAGCTCCCAGCACAGCCCACCCCTTCTGGACGCCCCTGCCTCGCCCTCACAGGCCCCGAGGTCCCAGCGCCTGGGGCGGAGGATAAGTGACGGCAGCTCCCACAGTGAGAGCTCGGGGTCCTCGGACAGCCTGGCACCCGTGGGTGCCTCCCGCAGTGAGTGAGGCTCTTGGGGGCTCTGCCTGGACTTATGGGAGGGGGACCTTGCAGGTGGCTGCTGAGGCTGACCTACGAGTGGGGGGAGGGGAGAAGGAACTCCTGGGTGGCATTCCTGCTTTTAGTGAGCACTTGACCTGTAGGTGGAGACCTGGCTTCATACCGAATCCTCACCCTGGCCCCAGGATGAGCTCTGATCTTAGAGAGAACCCTGACCTCTGACCCTGGATAGGGCCCTGAACGCTAACCCTGGATAGGGTGGGCCCTGACCTCTGACCCTGATTCCAGACCAACCTCTGATCTCAGAGTGAGTCCTGACCTCTGGCCCTGGACCAAGCCCTAAACTTTGACTCTGGTCCTGGAGTAAGCTTTTACCTCAGCAGAGCCCTGACATCCATCCCTGGGCAGGGCCCTGACCTCTGACCATGGACTGAGCCCTGACCTCACCAGGCATAGACTGAGCTCTGAGCTCAGACCATGGTAGGGTTTTGAGCAAGAAAGAGATATATATTTATAAGGAAACCCTGGGGCTGCTGTTTGGGGGCAAGAGACCTCTCCAGGCATAGACTGAGCTCTGAGCTCAGACCCAGCTCAGACCCAGCCCTAGTCCCAACATTCAGTGTCTCACTGGGAGTCACTGCTGACCTGGGTAAGACTGTGGGGGTCCCTGAGGGTCCCATCCCCATTCCTGGGGACCAGTTTAAAGCACATGTCTTATAGGAGGGCTAGGCAGGCAGAGGGGCTGGTGGATGGTGAGAAGGTGGGAGTCATTCAGAGCAGGGCTCCCTGGCCCCCAAACCTGTGACCTGAGTGGCAAGTCCATCACTGGGTCTGTGCATCGGGGCTTCCACACTGCCTGCTGAGTCAAGGGCCTGGGCAGGTCACTGTCCTCACCTCCCTTTCGGACCCACAGTCACGGCCAAGTGGTGGGGCACCAAGCGGATCGACTATGCCCTGTACTGCCCTGATGTCCTCACTGCCTTCCCCACTGTGGCCCTGCCCCACCTCTTCCACGCCAGCTACTGGGAGTCCACGGATGTGGTTGCCTTCATCTTGAGACAGGTATGCCGCCCCGTTGCTGTCCCTGCCTCGGGGCCCCTCTGGAGGCTTCCATCCTTCTGTATCTGTAGGAGAGGTCCAGGCAGGCCATATTGAACATTTTGCTCTTTATCCTGAGAGCAATGGAAAGGCACTGGAGCATTTGAACAAGTGGGTGCTGACATGGGCAGACAGTGTGTCAATGTGTTTTATAAAGAACACTGACTACTGTGTGGCTAACGGCATGGTTTGTTCTAGAAAATGAAATAGAAATAGAATGTACCAATGCTTCAATTTAGAGACTGGAGCAATGGATTCCTACTGTCCTCTGAATCTCAGTTTCCTTGTCTGTAAAATAAACGGTGTAGCAGAAAGACCAGGGAATAGGGAGAGCCTGATGGGAGAGGAGGTCAGGGTGGGGTGGAGGTCAGATTATGGACAGCCTCCAAAGCCAAAGGAAGGAATTTGACTTTATAATCCACTCAAATTCCAAAATCTCATGTTCTGAATCATCTAAATCAATGAGAAACCCTGGTAGGGTTTTGAGCAAGAAAGAGATATCAGCTGACTTGTATATTTAGAAGGAAAGTAAACCCTGGGGCTGCTGTTTGGGGGCAAGAGAGAAGCATGGGCCCGTTATGAGGTGAGCATAGAAGCCCAACTAAGTGATGATGGCATGGACTAGGACCCTGGTGGTGGAGGTGCTGAGAAGTGGCTAGATCTGAGTCATGGTGATAGGATTTGCTGATGTCTGGAGCATGAGGGCAAGAGGGGGGTCCAACAAGTCCTGCTTTTTGCTTGAGTAACTGGGGGTATGTCATGGATTGAATTGTGTCTCCCCAAAAATATCTGTCAACTTGGCTAGGTCATGATTCCCAGTATTGTGTGACTGTCCACCATTTTGTCATTTGATGTGATTGTCCTATAAATCCTATCTCTATGATGTTGATGAGATGGGATTAGCGGCAATTATGTAGACTCAATCTATAAGATTAATCTACAACTTGAGCCACTCTCTTTTGAGATATAAAAGAGAGAAGCGAGCAGAGAGACATGGGGACCTCATACCACCAAGAAACAAGAGCCAGGAGAATAACGCGTCCTTTGGACCTGGGGTCCCTGTCCTTGTCCAAGGGAAGATTGATGACAAGGGCATTCCTCCAGAGCCGACAGAGAGAGAAAAGCCTTCCTCTGAAGCTGACGCCCTGAATTTGGATTTGTAGCCTACTAGACTGTGAAGGAATGGACTTCTGTTTTTTGAAGCCATACACTTGTGGTGTTTCTGTTATAGCAGCACTAGATAACCAAAACAGGGTGCCACTCCTAGGGTGGGGAAGAGCAGGCCTGGGGTAAGGTACAGGAAATCAAGTCTTGGCTTTTGGACATATGAAGTGTGAGATACCTGTTAGATGTTGGGTAGGAAGGTGGATATATGAATTTAATGAATTTTTAAGTGTCGGGATTAGAGCTTAACATGTGGAAGTCACCAGAGCTTGGGTAGCATTTAAAACTAGTGATGGGTACAATACCAAGGAAGTTACAGTAGATAGAGAAGTTTAGGGATGAGTCCTGGAGCTTCCCAGGGGATGAGGGGCAACCACCAAACGAGGCTAAAGATGAGCACCCCTCAGAGTCAGGGGAGGATCAAAGAAGGGGGTAGACAGAAGTAGACCACTGCGTTTGGCAAGATGGAAGTCCTTGGGCCTTGGCAAGAATGGCCTCAGTGGAACAATGGGGATAGAAATGTGATGCGAGTCGGTGGAGGAGAGAATGTGAGGTGAGGAAATGGAGACAGAATATGGGGATAAGTCTTTTGTGGGATTTTACTATGAGGGAGAGCAGAGAAATGTGAGGGTAATTGGAAGGCCACCAGGGGTCTGTTGCTGTTGTCTTGTTCTGTCAAGTCAATTCAGACTCATGGTGACCCCATGTGTTACAGAATAGAACTGCTCCATAGAGTTTTCTTGGCTGTTGTTTTTATGGAAGCAGATCGCCAGGCCTTTTCTTGTGTGGTGCCGCTGGGTGAGTTTGAACCACCAGACTTTTAGTTACCAGCCGAGCCCAAATGGTTTGTGCCGCTTAGAGGTCTAGGGAGAGATTTTTTTTTTTTTTTTTTTTAAAGGTGTGTGATATTACAGCATATTGGATGCCAAAGGGAAGGGTCCAGTAGGGAGGGACTAGTCAGTGACGCAGGATTGAGAGAGGAGAATTGTTGGAGCAATGACTTGAGTAGGTGAGATGGCCAGGCTCCAGGGCTCCAGCTCGCCTTCCATAGGATCTTCCAGAGACAGGTCAGCCATCAGCACAGCAGGGAGGCAGAGAAGGGAAACAATGCAGGAAGGTGCCAGGCTTGGATGTGGAGGACAGAGGTGTTCCCAGAACACAGAGTGGGCTTGAGCAGGGCCAAGTAGGGGTCAGGGCAGGAGGGCAGGGAGATGGGCTCTGGGGTCCCTAGGCTCCTGAGGCTTCCAGGCTGGGAGAACCAGGGAGAGGGACTGTTGGTCACAAGTTGGTCATCCCTAACATGCTGGGAGGGTGGGATAGGGGTCAGAGGGCCTGACCAGGCACCTGCCGGCTGCTTGTCAGGTGATGCGCTATGAGAGTGTGAGTGTCAAGGAGAGCGCTGGCCTCGATCCTGCGGCGCTCAGCCCGGCCAACCCCCGCGAGAAGTGGCTTCGAAAGAGGACCCAGGTCAAGTTGCGGGTATGTGGGGCTGCCTGGGGGTGGGGCATCCACACGGCAGATAAGGGGTGGGCTGGAATGTGGGGGGCAGAGAGCCAAGGAAGGCCCTGAGGATGGAGGTACCAGAGTGGGCAAAGGCATGGCGGCCCCTGCCAAGCCTGGCCTGAAAGAAACGAAGGAGCAGGAGCGTAGCAGGCAGGCAGCGGGAGGTAAGACCGAAGGGGGAGCTCAGACAAGACTTTGAACGCCAAGCTCAGGACTTGGACTTGCTCCTGAGTGCAGTGAGGAGCCTGGAGGGGTTTGAACAGATTTGGGCTTTATAAAGATGTGGATCTGTTATGGGGTCTGGTGTTTTATTTTTTATTTTATTTTATTGTGGTAAAATATAGACAGGTAGTCCTCGACTTATGACAGAGTTCCGTTCCAAGGAGTCCGTCGTAAGTTGGTTCTGACATAAGTCGAATGCCTCTTTTTTTTTTTTAGTTTTCATGATTATTGCCTTTATTATCAGTATCTTTATAAATCTGATCTTATTTATCTTTGGGGGATGGAACCATTACATATAAACCTACACACACACACACACACACACACACACACACACACACACACACATATTTCTTTTTTTCTTCTTTTTTATGTTGGTTATCAACCCCACGACATGTCAACACTCTCCCTTCTCGACCTTGGGTTCCCAATCACCAGCTTTCCTGTTCCCTCCTGCCTTCTAGTCCTTGTCCCTGGGCTGGTGTGCCCCTTTAGTCTCGTTTTGTTTTATGGGCCTGTCTAATCTTTGGCTGAAGGGTGAACCTTGGGAGTGACTTCATTACTGAGCTAAAAGGGTGTCCGGGGGGCCATACTCTTGGGGTTTCTCCAGTCTCTGTCAGGCCAGTAAGTCTGGTCTTTTTTTGTGAGTTAGAATTTTGTTCTTTTTTTTCCAGCTCCGTCCGGGACCCTCTGTTGTGATCCCTGTCAGAGCAGTCAGTGGTGGTAGCCAGGCACCATCTAGTTGAACTGGACTCAATCTGGTGGAGGCTGTGGTAGTTGTGGTCCATTAGTCCTTTGGACTAATCTTTCCCTTGTATCTTGTTTTCTTCGTTCTCCCCTGTTCCCAAAGAGGTGAGATCAGTGGAGTATCTTAGACGGCTGCTGACAGGCTTTTAAGACCCCAGACGCTACTCACCAGGGTAGAATGTAGAACATTTTCTTTCTAAACTATGTTATTCCAATTGAGCTAGATGTTCCCCGAGACCATGGTCCCCAGCCCTCAGCCCGGTAATTCGGTCCCTCAGGGAGTTTGGATGTGTCTATGGAGCTTCCATGACCTTGCTTTGTACAAGTTGTGCTGGCTTCCCCAGTATTGTGGACTGTCTTACCCTTCACCAAAGATACCACTTATCTATTACCTATTTAGTGTTTTTCCATCCCCACCCTCCCCTCCCTTGTAACCATCAAAGATTGTTTCTTTTTCTGTGTAAACCTTTTCATGAATTTTTATAATAGTGGTCTCATACAATATT